TTACCAAAGCAATAGCTTGCCACCAGAGAAGGCTCATACCCACTGAGGTAGTTAGTTTATTGTGCCAACCTGGCTGATAAACATGTGGGGTTAATTGAAGCACAGAGGGATAAATGGCTCTGTGAACCTTACCTTTCTATCTCTTGGGTCTCTTGCTTTCTGATCGTCAGACCAGGATGAAGCTGCCTTAGCCAGTTCCCTGCTTCAGCTGGCAAGGCTCAATTCCTGCAAGATATCCGCAAGGAGAAGCTGCATGGACAGACGCTGATGCAGCACTGGGTGCTGAAGCAGCCGTATGGAGACCCCGCCAGCACTGAGATGCTTACACATTCACTGACTTGGCCTTCCTCCTGTAGTTGGCATCATAGTGTATGTTTTTTGAGATGGAGGAGACTTTGTGGATTGGTGTTGCACATATGGGTTAATGTTGGACTTGTGTACTTGGGCAGCACTGGGTTGGGATGTTTTCTTGATGTGCACTTAAGCTTTATATAAAACTCTCTCTTATACATGACTTTCTGTGGATTTGTTTCTCTAAAGTACCCAGACTAACACACAACCCAGATCATTTAGAGAAACAACCTTTCCTTCCTTGGAAGGCACAGCCCCCACTCTCCTGTCTTCCCTTAGAGATCTCCATCACCTGACTAAACATGGTGAACTCTACCCTCTCTGATGACCTGGGCCACTTGAACTCTATTCCTTTAAGACAACTGGATATGATTAGCCACACTCTACTTCTCAAACTATAAGAACTCCACTATCTTAGCTCCTGCAGTCCTCTAGCCTGCACTGAGGGCACAGGCCTAGACTGGACTTTCTGGCTACTATTTAGTCCTTCAAAGATTCTCTGTGCTTGGGCTGTGGCTTTCAATTCCATTGCCTTTTCATTTTGTTACGTTAAAATCCTAGGTTGTACTCCAGGGATGAGTTCTGCCTATCTTGTTATATTAATGCTGTTAAGGGACCAGATTTCTGGTGGCTTATATTCAAAGTTACACAAAGGAACACAGTCTGGGATGAAAGTGTTTCATTATTATTTTTTAAAGTTTTATTTAATTAATGGGTTTGTGTGGTGCCCTGGTATTGGGGATGTGCCACACTGTCCCCCATGGAAGGGGGACCAGGTTAGCTAAATGGGTTTGGGGCCCACTGGATCTGAATTCTTCCCCAGCTGCACTCTTGTGTCACTCCTGGCTCTCTCCTGCACAGCTCTGCAGACTATGCTCCAGGGAGCTGTGTTCTGTCATGAAGAGTCCAAGAGGCTCTTCATTTGCTGCAAATTAGTGTTTAATTAATTATCATTACCCACACTGGCAGACACACTGCTGGAGAGAGGGGGAAAGGGGATGGTCAATTTAGTCACTCCATTTCTCGCTTGGGTGGGAGATGCAAAGCCCGGGAAAGCCTGAGCAGGGAGGATAGCAGAGAGGGGAACTCTAGTGTGAAGCCTGTGGCCAGTTCTTGGAGAATCTCCAGGAGCCTGGGATCATGACCATCTTTAGACAGCAACCGGGGGAAATTACTGCACACTGTGGGTCTCAGATCTTGGGCCAGGAACGGGTAATGGACACCGTCCCACTGGCACTGGTGAGGGATTAGAGGAGCCCAAGGGTAGGTGTGGTGAACTTAAGTGTTTCAGTGAGTTCTCGAATCGCTCCATGGGCAAAAGTCACAGGGGGAAGAAGTCTGATACAACAACAGGAGCATTGGATGGGTGATTCTATCTGGATGCCATCTTCGAGTCCACTCTAATTGTTAATGATCCTGAGCATTTCACATGTTTGTTGACTGCCTGAATATCTCCTTTGGTGATGCATCTGTTCAAGTGCTCTATTTAGCATTCTCTTTGAAATGAAGGTACAAGAATGGGTTCTGTTATTTTAATAGGAAAGCTGAAATAAGTTTAAAAAATGAAAAGTGCAGTCAGAGATTCTTTGTTCAATAAACAATGATTAAGAATCTGTGTGCATGGCAAGTGGGTTAAAGGTTCCAGGGACAAATGAAGCTAAGAGGTGGTACTGACTTGAAGGAGCCTTCTGGCAATGACCACCAGTCTCTAACATCAGCTACATACACTCAGAGGACAGTGAGAGTTCCCAGGTGGAGAAAAGGATCCAAAAAGGCATTCCTCTGTCATGTCTTCTGTGATTCTATGTAAGGGCAAATCATCTCTCAGCCTCCCCTGCCAAGGCAATCCCATATTCCTTCTTTCTCTGGAGTTTGAGAACAAAGCTCTTGCTTCACAGCTTCCTAATAAATGTCTGTGAAATAGATGTGTTGTAAAAAAGGTTGCTCTGTGTTATATCGGTATAGAAAGATGGAAACATTTTTGAGAAAGATAAGCTAAGGTAATTAGGTAAGTGTAAGGTGTTCTAATTAGAAAGCAGGTCTAAATATATGCCAACAGGGGGGGCCAATAGGAAGTGTGGGGGACCAGTAGGAAGTATGGATTTAGTGAGAGAGTAGAATTTTGCTTAAATAATAGTAGTAGTAATAAAGATGGAAAATTAAGATACTATCAGGTTTAGGTGTATATGGCCTGTATTTTAGTAAGCCAGAGACCACACCTGAGAGGGTGACTTGTTTTAAATGTGAGTTCAGAAAAATTAATTGTGTGGCTCCATGAGTTACAGGAAACTCAGAAATGAGGAGGCTGCTGCCATGGTCCAAGTGGTGACATGGCCTTGGATGAAAGTGGCTTCAGTGAGAATAAGAAAGAGCTCCTGAAGTGACAAAGGAATGTTTTCATTTGTCCAGTGATGTACGGAAGAAAAAAGCACCCACAGCAATTGCTAGGTTCTTAGTCCAAATGATGGAGAAACTACCAACAAATTCAAGGACCCCAAGAAGACAACACAAAGTACTCCGCCAAAAAGATTAATCTATAGAATTAAAGAGCTAATCTTTCCCTACTTATCTTGTAAGTAACAGTGGTCTAATAAGCCCAACCACAGTATACGACATAATAAAATCTAAAGAACAAAAAGCCAAACCGACTACTGAGTCAATTCTGCCTCATAGCAATGCTATCTGGGGTTTCTAAGACTGTGAGTCTTTACATGTGCAGACAGCTTCATCTTTCTCCCTTGGAGTAGCTGATGGGTTTGAACCGCTGGCCTTGCAGTTAACAGCACAATGCCTAATGTATAGACCATTCCTCAATGAATAACTAGACAGTCTTTCTTGTGAAGTTCTGTGCTGGGTGGTTGTCCATGGGTGAACTAGCAAGCTCCAGACCCATGTAGCTTGTTAGGATCCAGGGATAAGCCTCAAACATGCACACACACAGAAGAATAGAGTTAAGCCACAGTTTTATTAAAGCATAAGATTACTTCAAAAGAAATGAGTATTTCTTGTGAGGTAAGAAAGACACCCTTAAGGGTAGGTAAACTTTGCTTCTGGAGTGAAGGGTGTCCCCCCTTGCAAATGGAAAAGGGACGCTGTTTATGGGGGTTACGGCTCTGCAGACGGTCAAGCAGCTTTCTAATTAGTTACTCAGTTCTTCCTGGGGTATCATGCCTAGTTTCTTACAATTTTATCTCAATTCAGGCCCGGCTTCAGGTTAGAATGTTTAAGGATTTATCTCCAGTTCCAGTCTTGTGTCAGGATGGATATCAGGTGAATACCAGGGCCTAACTTCAAGGTTAACCTGTTTACCAAGCCTGTACTCACAGGGTCCTTTGTTCATTCCCTAGAAGGCAGGGCAGAAATCCTGTTCTGTCCCTAACATGCTTTGAAGGACAGATATTTTTAGAAAGAAGAAAGAGCAAATGAATACTGTACCACCCCCTCCCTCTCGAACTTGCCCCATGCAAAAAAAAAAAAAAGTGGGGTTGAATGTCCATGTGTAGAAAACACTTTCTGATGGATGTCTTCTTTAAGTTTTCTTCTTGTGCTTTGGTCTGTACGCAATCAAGATGGAGAGAGAAGCTATTCCAAAGAGGAAAGTCTGAATGAACCAGAGTAGCCGAGTCCGGCCATTCGTGATGCCTTTATACCTAAAAAAAAAAAAAGAAAAGGGTGGGTGGGTGGGGAGGGAGGGAAAAAAAGAGACAAGGGAAAATTTAAACACCAGAATTCTAAACCTGTGGCTGAATAGAATTATTATCTCCTATATTTTTAATTTGGTTGTTCCATCTATTTTCACTTGAGTTTATTTCGCTGTTTGTCTCTAACTTTAAAATGTTAACAGCTAGTCCACATATATTTTAAGATATTTTTAATACATACCTTCAAAATGTACGTTCTTTGCCCCCAAAACAGTCTTGCTACTCTCCAGGGTACCTTATTATAAATTTGTTTCTCATGTGATCCTAATATGAAAACACTGTGATAAAGGTCTAGTATAACTTCAGCACAAGAGCTCAGAAGACAGACCAGATGTGAATCCTTGCCTGGCCAGCACCAGGCCAGTGACTTTGGGCAAGTCACTCAATCTCTCCAAGATTGAGCTTCCTCATTTGAAAAAAAGCAATAATAGTACTTATCTCACCAAGCTTTGAGATGAGTTATAAAATATGAAAAGTACTTAGCAGTAGTTGGCACATAATAATAAATACCTGCTTGTATATTCATTCAAATTAAATTCCCTAAAACAAAGTCTACCAGAGTCAAAGTAGACCTTGAGGAAATACCTCTTGAATTCAGAGATCATCTCACGAATAGATTTGAGAACCTCGCCCAGTGGATCTGTGTCTTCTTTCAACAGTGTTTGGATGGAACAGATCCAGGGACTCCCTACCACCAGCCTCCAACACTCTCCAACTTCTTCTACAGGAGTAACCTCCTGGACCATCTTCTTGGCCATCTTCTTTTCTGGGACCACCTAACTCCGTTTTATTTTGTGTGTGTTTAGTACCAAATTCTTGATCCACCTGTGAGCTCACAAATTCATCAGAATTATTCTGCTGAGGCTGAAGCCAGGATTAACCATCTGGTCAATGTGTATCTGTGGCTTCTTACACTTACTTCTCTTGTGTTTCCATTTCAACCCTAACAATGTGGACTTAAAAGGCGAAGCTGCTGAAGGAGAAGAGCAAGGGGTCTGAGTGATTCTTGAAGCTGACAAACCAGCACCTGGGATGCACCCACTCCCAGTGTATGGAAGAGTTATCCCAAGAGAAGTTCCATGGAAACTGCCCTGGCTCTGGAGAAGAACCTCAACTAGGCCCTTCTGGACCATCATGACATGTGTTCTACCCACACAGACCCCCAATTCTGTGACTTTCTGAAGAACCACTTCTTGCAAAAGAGGTAAAACTCCTCAAGCAGATGGGCGACCACCTGACCGACCTCTACAGGCTGGCCAGCCCCATGGTGGGGCTGGTCGAGTATGTCTTAAGAGAGGCTCTCCTCAAGCAAGACTAAGAGCCTGTCCAGCCACCTCTGCCTCTCCCTGATGGCCTCAGACCCTCTGTCTGAATCTGTCCTTCCAGCAGCATCGCCAGTACCCTAAAGTCCCCTCTCAGACCATGGACTAAATGGAAACAATAAAGTTTCCTTTTGTATGGGGGCGGGGGGAAGACTTGACAAATTGAACACAAATCATCAATAGCCACATGAATTAGGGAGTAACATCAAGGAGATCATACATGAATGATGAAAGTTAGAAGTCAATAAAAAAACAGAAAGGAAAGAAGAGATCAAAATAGATGTCAGTAAAATGTGACACTATAAAAAAAATAGATGTCAGAAGAGATTCTGGAAGTTGCCCTTGAAAGTGAAGTAGTGGACGCAAATAGACGATATAATGAAGAAAGAGGGTTGAACATAAGGTTTTTATATTATCCAGCAATCTTTCTACTCTGTATGTACCCTAAAGTATTATAGAGCAAAACACAAGCTGATACATGTACACCCACGTTTATAGGAGCACTGTTCACAACAGCATAAAGATGGGAACAACCTAAATGCCCATTGGTAAAGGAATGGATAAGTAAATTTTGGTGCATGAATACTAAGTAGTGCTAAAGAAATATTATAAATCCGTCAGACACCTCATGACATGGATGGATTTGAAAAATATTATGCTGAGTGAAGTTAATTAATCACACAAAGACAAATATTGTATGGACCAATGTTAGGGGAAAAATCAAGACAAAAGTTTCTCATATCCAAAGAAACAGACTGATGATTACTGGGGCTGAGGGGTGTGTGTGTGTGTGTGTGTGTGTATACGTTGGCGGGGAGCAGAAGGGAGAAGAAAAAGGAGGGGGAAAATAAATAAAAAAATAAAAGGCACATGATTTGAGTCTTTCAAGGATGCCAACACTGTCATTTTGATGTGGTGAAAATTAAAAGCACAGAATTCTCTGAGAAAGATGGAGAAACAATGTCACATTTTGATAATTTAAATAAAAGTTATGTATGATTTTGTAGCAATACATTTTGTCTAAAACTTCTTAATAATAAGGCCCTATGAATATCTTGTGTCCTTCAAAAAAATCTATTGAGATTATATCTATGAAATAAAAAAAAAAACCAGTTACCCTATCCTTCTGATCTGATCTTTCTGTCTTGAATTTAATTGGTCCAGCAGATCCCCTCAAAAACCAGTTTTGAATGGGTCTTTTTCTTTTTATGACACCCTAAGGAAACTAAGACAAATGTATTACTGAGAGACCTTGTTGCAGCCCATTCGTTGATTGGAGAGGCTTGTTTAAAGATGTTTGTGTAAAATAATCCTGGAACCCCTGTAGCAATACTTTTTTCACTTACCAACAAGTGCGCATATATGGGGAGTTTTAAAAAGTTTTGGGGAAATGCTATTATTATCTTTTCATTCTATTTTCTTCAATCTCTGATATATTTATTATACACACCACACACACACTCACGTGAGACTAAGTGAAAAGCATTATGGTAACTCTTTTAGGAATCCCATAGGAGTGGTCTTTATAGACTGTCTTGAAGGACACAGGGCTGATTATAAAGAATTGTTAAGAAAATTGAAAGCTTAACTTCTGACAAGATGGCAAACAAAGACAGAAGAGACCTAAGGAAATAAAGACACTCATCTTGGCATGCTGACATTCATGGGAAGGGATAGGAGAATGTAACTAATACTGACTAGGAGCAGAAGCTAAACAAACACAGTGAATGAGGAGGCAGAAAGTGAATTGTCAGTCAGCCCGGTGCACTTTGACCATTTTGAAAATTTTCAAGCAGCATTTGTAGCTAGCAATTTGTAGCTAGCAACAAGAAAAGGTGGTTTCTCTTTTGTTCCCCACATTCTCTTGGTGATCAGAGGAGTGACCAGCTGCCACTCTCACCCACCCAGCAGCCAGTGACCCTGCCCTGTTGTCCCTGTGTAGCTGTTGGTCCACCTGAGGTCAGAGTGCTACCCTCATCGATCAGGTACTGAATGCATCACCTGAGTCTGGAGGTGCATGAACTCCCCCACATCAAAACAGTACAACACATAGTTCTGGGTCCCTGGCCAACCCTGTTCGAGTGGAAACTCCTCCCATAAGCAGAGCCTCATCGGCCTTCCAGACCCTTAGGAATTTCTTCTAGGGACACACGCCATGGCACTCGCCATATGAGCCAGCACAGAACACCCTGACTTAAGTTACCATCTGAGCCGGCACAAAATACTTCCAAGATCAGATACCCCAACCCGAGGGATCCTATAGGCTGTAGAAACTCCAACTGGGATGAGTCTCCCGCCCTCCCCAATCCCAGGAACTCCTAGGCTGGCAGAGGGTGCCAGCTCCTACCGAGTGCTCTGCTCCCTCCAGTTTCTTTGTTTTTGTTTATCTGTTGGTTTTTCCTTTCTTTCTTGGTTTTTATCCTTTCTTTCTTTGCTTTCCCTTTCCTTGTCTCTCCTGTCCCTTCTCTGTTTTTTCACTAGTGTTTTTTTTAACACAGAAATTGTATTTTATTAAGCCTTACTATTATACACTTAGTTTTATTTGACCATTGTATTTAATTGTATTATCTTAAAATTAAATGTAAAATAAAAATAAAACTTTGATAACTCCATTACTCTTAGTGTTTTTTCTTTAATAATTTTTTTGTCATTTCTTCCCCATACCTCCATAGTTTTGCTTATTGCATCTTACTTTATTTTATCACTTTTATTTTTTCCACCAGTATTCTTATTTTCCTTTTGAAACTTTTATTTCTTTATGCTTTTGCCAACTTGCCTGGGTTCTTTTTGTATTTATTTACTTATTTTGGCTCTTTGTTTGTTTTGTCAGTTCTTTCCCCTTGTTCCACAAAATGGAACACAGCAACCACACCCATACAGCCCAGCCACATCCAAAACTCTTGCAGTCACATATACTCTGTGAGAGCTGATATTGATTTCTGTTCCACCTACTCATTGATAGCAAGCTACAAACACTCTCAACTGTGCTAAAAGAATATTGAGAGAACATTTTCCACACACTCAATTCTCTGGTCAATGGGTAAGGTCTCAGCAACATATAATCAATTAAATAAAAATAATATCCCATAATGTCTCAGAAGCAAGAAGCCATTTCAGTTCACATGAAGAAACAAGACAGAATTCTCAAATAAGTGACAAATATGTACAGCCAGGGGTCTTTGCTGAGGTAGAAAAGGCACTGGAATGAACGAATAAGGGAATTTTTTTTTTAAATAGTATTTCATTCCTTCTGTGGATTGAAAGAAGCATAGACAAAACCAAGAAAAACGGGAGAAAACCATCCTGACATATCATAATCAAACTTTCAAACTAAAACCAAAGGCAAAGGAAACATCATGAGAAAATGTCAGGAAAAGCAAAATGTTACCTAACTAAAAGGAACCAATAAGATTTCTCATCAGTAATGGGACAGACAAAAGGGCAATGGGATGACATGTATAAAATTCTGAAAGAAAACAATTTCTTACCAAGAAATATACACTCAACAAAATTGTCCCTCAAGTCTAGTGGTGAAATTATGACATTTCCATATAAACAGAACTTAAAGGAATTTCTAAAACAGATCAACTTTATCAGAAATATTAAGAGCTTTGGACACAGAACCAACAACAGCGGACAACAACCTGAAATCAACATATACGACAACTCTACCCAGAGTAAAACCCAGATTTAGAAGTATATAAGACAGCAGATTAAAAATGGATAACTGACATATCAATTTGTAATAAAGACAATTATACAATTACAGATTAAATGGAGGGAATAATGCAGCTACAGAACATTCGAATGGAGAGGAATTCAACTAGAATTCAAGATTCAAAAGACTGTTGAAAAGATTACAGGATACGTTCAAATAAAATGAGTAAACTTCATCAAAATAAAAGAAGAAAATCATAAGGATTTAGAATACACTATAACAGCTGCAGTTAATAGATCAAATGAGGCATTGCACTAGTCAAATCTGCTGCACAGACCTCTTTAGGGTATTGAAAAGCAAGGATGCTACTTTGAGGACTCCAGTGTGCCTGATGCACACCATGGTGTTTTCCATGGCCTGAAATGCATGTGAACGTTGGAAGTTGAATAAGGAAGACCATAGAAGAACCAAAGCATTTGAATTATGGTGTTGGGGGAAAATATTAAAAGTACCATGGACTGCTAAAAAAAAAAACCAAACCTGTCTGTGTAGAAAGAGGGTCAGAGTGCTTCTTAGAGGTGAAGATGGCAAGACTTCACCTTAAATATTTTGGAAATATTGTCAGGAGACACCAGTCCTTGGTGAAGGACATCATGTAAAGTGGAGGGACAGCAAAAAAGAGGAAGGCCCTCAACACAATGGATTGACACAATGGCTACAACAATGGGCTAAGGCATAAGAACAATTGTGAGGCACTGGGACGAAACACAAAGGGAGTGCAACAAAGCAACAAGGGGAGAAAAGCAAGGAAGTCCCCAAGGAATCCCGAAAACAGCCTTCAGAACTTAGAGGGCAGGGCTTGGCACCCCATCAGACTTAATCAGAAAGCATACATAAGGATCAGCAGAAAGACCTGGAACTATTTATAGGCCCCCTTTTCCTTCTTTTTT